TAAAATCAGTGCATATTAATTAACTATTTTGCATAATAATTCCTAATTTTTTGTTCTAATCACATTTCAATGAACCTTCATACATAGATGGTCTGTGACAGTACTTATCTTAATTCAATGAATCTTGGTACATATGTACTCTAACACAATGTGATGATCTAATAAGTTTTAGGTGTATATACATCTATAATAATTACCTAATTTGCACAATAATTTACTTTTCAGCTTTCCACTTATTTAGTTATGATTAATCATCACATTATAATGAGAATGTGTATATGTGCACCCTGAAACAATATACAGACCTAAATCTATGCATAATAATTGCTTAATTTGTATAATAATTCAGTTGGTTCATTGATGTAATCCACAGACATGATTAGTTTAATGTTGATAAACATGCATATTGATTATCTATTATTAGATTTAAAATGAATTCATTGCAGAGGTGTTCTGGAATTAGACTAAAAACCATGGAAGAAAAATCAAATGTATTTTCTGTATGTATTATAAATTTAGATTTTTTCATTTTGTGCATCTCAAATAGCAGATAGTTTTCAAGCTTTTCGTTTGAAAAGCAAATCTTAAATTTTGAATTAATTTAAATGTGTCTCCAATACTCTCAGCACACGGGAGTTCTTTCAAGCTTTCTTTGATTACTTTAATTTGTACGTCAAATCTCATTCTATAGATTACACGGAATTAGTTAGACATATTACACTGCCTCGTACCTCTTGACATTTACATGTTTATAGTTCGTTGCAATCTAGCTTGAAAGGTCAACTTTGCGATAGTTGATTATAATGATCTTAGTGACGTAATTTAACAGTGATTTAACGAGTTCAGATTGCTCAAGCCGAGCCCACGTTCAGTTTCCCAAATAAATGATCCATAATAGTGGAAAATACTCTTAATCATCCAGATCCCTGCTTCCATATATTTCGTTTAAATTCGAAATTGATCCGATCGACCAATGAGAAATATGTGCCCAATGTTGGGTAACATCATATTCCCCTACTGATCTTTTATTTACCGGTTTTATATCAAATGTATTGCCCTTCGAGTATTATTTCAAAACATAGATCTCAGTTTTCTCACTATGTCTGTAACGCACCCTCCATAGTGAATTCGTGTTAATCGATGACAGAGTTTAAATAAAATATTAGTCTCAAGAGTTCGTTCATTGGCCAGTCGGATATAAGCCGATAGTCGACTGTCTTTCGCGGAGTTAGGTAATTCCTGACTGGTACGCCATGATAGTGCGATATCGGACACGATACCGAGCTTTTCTTCAACAAGACAACTTAAAGTACATGGTAGTGAGCTGTCTTGTAAAGTGGTTGTGGAATGCAACGAACTGTTGTCAATGTCATCGCGTGGTTGTCCGCATAATTTGTTAGTGAAGCAAATTAAAACTTGTCAATGTGTTTATACTTGGCACACGCGTAACATATGTCTAAAAATTGAAACTATCGATCATATTTAATTGCTTATGGTATAGAAACAATTTTATGCCGAATTATTTATCTCTTTCTTTCTGTTCTGCAACTCCCTCTCTCAGCTTCAAAATGGCGGTGTGTTGTTACTAACAGTATGAATTGTTGAAATGCAGATTTCCTAGTCGTGTTCGAGTTTCCGCCTCATGGTAATTAGGATTTCCGGAAGTGTATGTAGTGGTCCCAGAAGAGGGGGTTGTATGAGGTTATATGCCTGTCCAATTGATCTTACTTTAAAGCGTATATTGTTTTTCAGTGCGGTATTATATTAGAAGAGATTTTAAGATATACACATGTTACAGCGGCCGTCCCTCAACAAATAATAAAGCCAAGGCATTTTCGATTTCGAAATAGCGAAACTCTCCCTTTTTACGCAAACTGGGAAGTTCGAATTACTAAACGAAGTACAGGACGAGGAAGATGAAATATCCAAGAACCAACACATTATTATATTGTATTATATTTGAAATTATATCACAAAACTGAATATTTGTGGTGTATTTAAGTCTAACCGGACCGGAAGTGGGAATTCGTTAGTACTCTAAATATCCAAGCATATTTTAGTATTAGGTAGTAAAAAGTATCGAACATACAGTTTGATAGAAACGTAATTTACACAGTAGAAGTTCAGAAAAACAGTTCAGTATGGTTGTGACAATTTATAATTATGTACTAAAATGTGAGTGTAATATCGAAAACAATCTTTTAGCCCTCCCCTAAACAGTTATGGTGTAACACACCTCCCCACGTGGTTGGAAAATCCTCAAATTCCGCACATTCAGGCTTGTCGTTTATTGCGTATTTATGTTAGGCAGTTATTCGTCAATGGCCGTTCTAGATTCCGATCGACTTTACTGTCGGTGGGTAACCCATTCAGTCGCTGCGAGACAAGTAGCTTTTTGCATGATATTGTAAACGCATTTTTTTCGCTGGTTTTTATTTTCGCTATTTGCGCCGATATTTGAAATTCGCTAAACACGTGAAATGATAATATAACTTATTGTTGCCCGGCCAATTGATTTCCAAAACGTGAAATTAAATATTAATGATATTTTTTTTGAAATCACTCCCTGATATCAACTATGATAATTTATACATATTCTGAAAGCTAGAATACATAAGAACACACACGGACATGTTTTAAATTATTATTTCTGTTTCTCGTCAAAAAAAGTTAAAATAAAGGAATATGCATTGCGAACATCAACTTGAGATGTACTTACTTTAGCTTACACATGTTCAAAGCTATTTTACGATGAATTGTGTTCACTGGCAAAATAGGAACTATGACATGTTACAATCCATGCAATATACTATCGAATCGTTTTTTTTTTCAACTTACGAAACAACTTTTGACATGATGTATTACAGCGTGGATGCGCAAACAATGATTAATTTGGGTTTCACCGCAATAGCTAACAACGTTACAACCCAGATGCATCTGTTTTCTTGTATATTAATGATTCCAGGAAATAGCTGTGTTGTTTTAATGACGACTTTACCGACAGGGGCTGATTACTACCTTATACTAAAATATTTTTGGAAATATGAGTACTAACAAATTTAAAATGCACCACGAATATTGACTTTTGAGATATCATTTTGGTATGTGTTGTTTCTTGTATTTCCACTAAAATACGTTCAAGATCTGCACTTTCTCATAGCATAAACACGGGTTTTACCTTAGCTTACTAAAATTAAAATATGATTGGGGTCGCAGTCGCTGCCGCGCGGTAAGTAGTCTCTCACCTCTTGGTTATAATTGTCGTCCAAATAATTCACGCCCTAAATTTGGGTTTCCTGGCGCCTCTAATAAATAAGCTAAATTACCGCTGGACTAAATCAATAACATATCACCCCAAAAAAATGGATTATTGGGCAAAAATCTTTTTCTTTCTTTTTTTGACCTCGACATTTTTCGCTTGGAAAGCCATTCACGATAAATTTTGATTCACAGGACGCGTTTAATAAATAACCTATCTAAGCGCTCTGCTGAATCATTCATATTGCCCCAAATAAATATGGAAGAATGGGCGAACATTCTAAACATTCGTCGTGATATTGCATTACTTGCATAGATTGCGTTTTTGTCATGCCATAAATTGTGTTTTTAGAGTCTCTCAATTTCGTTTCAAAGACTGCAGTCGCGCAGAGATAACCAGAACGTTGGATACTTCGTCGTGAAATTCACGTGCAGTAAGTTACGTTTTTGGATTCCCCCAAATTTGTTTTAACCTTTGTCACCTATTTCCACATCAGAGTGAATTATAGCATTAATATTTGTTTCCCGGGAATCGTTGCTGGTATTTTCGCTCGAAAACACAAGGGCCATAAGACTTGATTTCCATGGACGCAGGTCGTTTGGATCGAATGATTCCTTTTGTTTCAAGTTCGTTATATGCCTAGAAGCATAGCAACGTTGTTATTTTGTGAATAAATGGACGTTGTCTATTCAAATAAAGAATTTTGATATGCCAATCGAACAACTCCGTACTGGAATGTCTCCAGTATAAAAAGAAATTTGACAATGATACTAGCCCAAAATGGACTTTTCAAGGCGTCTTTAATGTAATCGCATTGTTGAGTGACTGTGATGTAATCGATAATGTTGACGTCGCCGTACGTAAAAACACACTCTCGAACTTGACAACATTCAGTCTCAAACAACTAAGCAAATGGACGGAAATATCAGTTAAACAATCATGAAGACTGATGATTCGAATGATGGCCGGAATAGCTGTATTGTTCAGTTTATATGCAATTGTGATTCTCAATGTCGATGTGCAAAATATCGCTGGTCTGGGCAGCGACGGCTAACAGACTAATTTGATTCTGTAAGTTTTGTTTCGGACAACGGGCTTTTACCTTTTTGTTTGCTATTCTGACTTTTCTTGGTCGAATTTCACACTGATAAATAAGTATTAAGTAAGTAAACGATCCGGCGCATAGTCAACATAAAACTCTTGATAACAGGTAGGACCTGAAGGTAGCGTCAACATACAGGATTAATGGGCAAGTGACAATCCCTTTTTCCAAATCTCATTTATTAGAATTTCGGCATGAAGTAACACGTTATCATTATATCAAGGAAAAATAAGATTTTTTTTTGTCCAGGTTGTATAATGGATTCTATAATTAATATATCATGTGTATTTTTGTAAAGTGTACCTTTATGTATTACCGGTAAAATATGCACGTATCAGGGTTCGTGAGGGGAGGTTCATAGGTTGAAAACGGATAAATAGCACATATACACACGTGTTCGTAGTAAGTTTTCTTTATTGAAAAACATCACAGCTTCCATGCCCACATGGATTCAACTCATTGTAGTGAATTTTATAGAGCTATATCAAAGGCAGACCGGCCAAGAATTATGTAAAGTCGCCATTTGACACCAGTCAACACCTTGAGTCAGGCAACTGTCACCATTTATATCTCAGTAATTGACAGACAGTAAGTGTTAAGTTGTCTCCTCCAGTCCTTTTACGACCAATTAAATACAAGATGCAAAGAAACATTAGTTGTTTTACTTACTTGGATGTAACTGTTACTTACTTGGATGTAACTGTTACTTACTTGGATGTAACTGTTACTTACTTGGATGTAACTTTTACTTACTTGGATGTAACTGTTACTTACTTGGATGTAACTGTTACTTACTTGGATGTAACTTTTACTTACTTGGATGTAACTGTTACTTACTTGGATGTAACTGTTACTTACTTGGATGTAACTTTTACTTACTGGGATGTAACTGTTACTTACTTGGATGTAACTGTTACTTACTTGGATGTAACTTTTACTTACTTGGATGTAACTGTTACTTACTTGGATGTAACTTTTACTTACTTGGATGTAACTGTTACTTACCTGGATGTAACTGTTACTTACTTGGATGTAACTGTTACTTACTTGGATGTAACTTTTACTTACCTGAATGTAACTGTTACTTACTTGGATGTAACTGTTACTTACTTGCATGTAACTGTTACTTACTTGGATGTAACTTTTACTTACTTGGATGTAACTGTTACTTACTTGGATGTAACTTTTATTTACTGGGATGTAACTGTTACTTACTGGGATGTAACTTTTACTTACTTGGATGTAACTGTTACTTACCTCGATGTAACTGTTACTTACTTGGATGCAACTGTTACTTACTTGGATGCAACTGTTACTTACTTGGATGTATCTGTTACTTACTTGGATGTAACTTTTACTTACCTGGATGTAACTGTTACTTACTTGGATGTAACTGTTACTTACTTGGATGTAACTTTTACTTACTTGGATGTAACTGTTACTTACTGAGATGTAATTGTTACTTACTTGAATGTAACTATTACTTACCTGCATGTAACTGTTACTTATTTGGATGTAACTGTTACTTACTTGGATGTAACTGTTACTTACTTGGTTGTAACTGTTACTTACTTGGATGTAACTTTTACTTACTTGGATGTAACTTTTACTTACTGAGATGTAACTGTTACTTACTTGGATGTAACGGTTACTTACTGGGATGTAACTGTTACTTACTTGGATGTAACTGTTACTTACTGAGATGTAACTGTTACTTACCTGGATGTAACTGTTACTTACTTCTACATACCAGTTAACGTATACCAATTTTATAGCTTACAAAATATTTGTAGACTATTGTCAAGTAATATGAGAGGGTGCACGAGAAACTAGCTGGGATATATACATCCCAGTTAACGTATATGCTACATATATTTTTACTACCATAAAAATATGAAGTGCACAGATAGGGGAAATGTCTCATGGCATGGAAAAATAATTTTTGTTTTTTTGTCCAGGTTATATAATAAATGTTTTGAGTGTGTAAGCATAGTAAGCATGCAAAGTAAACAGAATTATGTGAATTTGCATTGGTGGTGGGAATTCCCATGCCAATTTATAAAATTGTGAACAAATATTTTCGTAAATAATACTAATTCTCGTTAGTGTGTATCATTTATGCATGTAATTACATATTCCATATACTTTGTGTCATTTTAATTATACATGGTATCCCCAGATTAACACCGGTTGTTTAATGGCACATACAACATTAGATTCTCGACTCCGATGAAAAGACAAGTTTCTGCCACTCACCACGAAAGCCACTCATTGCGAAGCTACTAGTTTATTAACAGATAAATTAAAAGTGAGATTGTCCTTGGTCGCTACCTTGATAAGAGCGAACTTTCAAAATTATCAACAAGTTTGACGACTGACGTGATGTGAATGATTGTTTCCGCCTCTTTCGTTTAATGCGTGCTCCGTGAATTTCATCGTAACGGTATATAGAATGTGGCCATGACCCTCTTTTTTTAACAAAGACTGTATTTTGATATACTAGTAAAAATGGGATAAAGTTATGCAACAGTACACGTACTCCAATGTTCTGATACATCGGTTGTTTGTAAACGTGTATCATCACCAAGAACACGCCAAATAATAAATTATTGTCATGACATGTACGTAGTCTTCAATTAACGCAATGGACTCGTTGTTGCTATGCTCTCGTGAGAAACATGACTCATTCGGAATTTGCTTGAAAAATTTATAGTTCAAGTCAGTTATGTTGCATACGTTTTTAGCGAGAACCAAGTCGTCGACGATATGAGTGATTGTCCGTCGTCGTCCGGCGTCGTCCGTCGTCCGTCGTCGTCGTTCGTGTCAATGTTTTACTTTTTCGACTTCTTCTTGAAAACTAAAAGCCTGAATGCTTTCATACTTGGTGTATATGTACCTTGGGTAGACCTCTCTCGGATTTGTTCATTTCATGATGATATCTTCAATTCTCTAATTTTGGTGAATATTTTTGGTAAAAAGTGATATTTTCAACTTCTTGTTAAAAACCGCAAGTCCAATTGCGTTGATATTACATATATAGGTACTGCATGTGGACCTCTCTCAGATTTGTTCATTTTGTAATGATAACTTTAATTCTCTAATTTTGGTGAATATTTTTGTCATTTTTGGTAAAAAGTGATATTTTCGACTTCTTGTTGAAAACCGCAAGTGCAATTGCTTTGAATATTACATATATAGGTACTACATGTGGACCTCTCTCAAATTTGTTCATTTTGTAAGTGATATCTTAAATTTTCTAATTTTGGTGAATATTTTTGTCATTTTTGGTAAAAAAA